TAACCAGGTAGGAATTCCGAATGAAACTTTTTCCACAATCTAGACATTCATATGGGTTTTCTCCTGTGTGCATCCTCTGGTGTCCCACCAGGTAGGAATTTTGACTGAAACTTTCCCCACAATCCAGACACTTGAAAGGTTTTTCTCCTGTGTGAGTTCTCTCATGTACCACCAGGTTGGAATTCTGACTGAATCTTTTTCCACAATGCAGACACTCATATGGTTTCTCTCCTGTGTGAGTTTTCTGGTGTCTCACCAGTTTTGAATTCCCAGTGAAACTTTTCCCACAATCCAGACACTTATATGATTTCTCTCCCATTTGAGTCCCCTGGTGTATCACCAGGTTGGAATTATGACTGAAACTTTTCCCACAATACAGACATTTATATGATTTCTCTCCTGTGTGAGTCCTCTGGTGCTTTACCAGGCCGGAATTCTGACTGAGAGTTTTCCCACAAAACGGACATTCAAAGAGTTTCTCCCCAGTGTGAGTCCTCTTGTGTATAACAAGATGGGAACTCTGACTGAAACTTTTCCCACAATCCAAACATTGGTATGGTTTATCTCCCGTGTGAGTCCTCCTGTGTATATCGAGATGGCAATTCTGACTGAAACTTTTTCCACAATCCAAACATTGATATGGTTTATCTCCCGTGTGAGTCCTCTGGTGTCTCACCAGGTGGGAATTCTGCCTGAAACTTTTCCCACAAACGGGACATTCAAAGCGTTTCTCCCCAGTGTGCGTCCTCTTGTGTCTCACCAGATTGGTGTGCTTGCTAAATCTTTTCCCACACTGGGAGCACTGGTAGAGCTGCTCCTCCTGCATCGGTTCTTCCATGAATAATGGGAGTGCTGTTCTGAGTAAAGCTTTTGCCATCGTCCAAACATTTGCATGGGTTTTCAAGGGGTGGATGGACTCATGCAAAAAAAAGGTGTGATCTGCAATCCATGTTTTTCCCAAAATAGGCAGTCGGTGGGATTTTTCCAACACTGATATTCTTGGATTCATGAGGAAGCCAAAAATATTTCTGATCCCTTTGTCTGGTGGTGCTTTGATCCAAGATACTTTGCTTCCTTAAACGCTTTCATTAATGCCTTGTACTTTTTCATGCAATATTTTCTTGAGTTCCACATAATCTATTTTTTCTATCTGAAAACTCTGTTCCTGTTATTCTCTCCTTTGTCTTCCTCCATCTGTTAAGGAAATATAAAGTTTTTAACACTTTCTGGAGGAAATGGAACAGATTTTGATTGATGGTTTGTTTTGCATTTTAATGCTGCTTCTCATTCTGTTGTCCGGAGTGCTCTTCTTGGCATCCTCTCTGACTATAAGGTTCATATTAATGGATTAGTTTCATTATTGTTTAAAAAATGGCTGCTGAACCTGTGAAAACAGCAAAAAAATCCATCTATCACTATGAAAAAGCAAATATATCAAAATGCTAATTTAACCTCTAAGATTCATTATGATTCATCAGGCACAGAGGAGACTAGCAAAATCAAACTTCAAGTATCCACTCATATTTCAAATCATGGAATTCTCTTCTTGGCTTGTGTAAATCACAAATTATTATCATTGCAAATAGTTGTTACAAAAATACCTGAAAATACGTAGGTCTATACAGATACATGTATATCCACACATAAATACACACCTATAAATTTATATATGTGAAAAATCTATGTGTATTTTGGACTTTCAAAATGATTCAGAAGTGGATTCACTTAATTTGTTTGATCTAATTTTAGAAAGCTGGGGACACTAACAGATGAAACGGTGCCCAAAGCCTATGCGAGATTTAAAGCACCTGTTTTACCCCCGAAAGTCCTCACTTGCCAGGAAAACATGTCAATAATGTCACAAGAAATGAAGACCGAGAGAGGCAGGCTGTTAAAAAATATGAAATACATTTTTTTTCCATCTCCCAGCAGAAAATGACAGGCAGCAGTTTTAAATCATGCAGCGTAAGGATAACAACATTTGGGGAGAGAAAGAATATGCAGCAGCAGCCGACACGTTTCAACCTCGTCCCTTCGCTGCTTCCACACCGCGGAGAAAAAGAAACAGCCCGACTTGCTCCCGGCTTCTCCTCCGACCTGCCCTCCACTCACCTCCCAGGAGCCGCTTCCACCATCGAGACAGCTGAAGAGCATCCACCGACGCCATCCTCCTCCCATAAGTGAGCCGGAAGAGGAAATTCCTCTGCCGTTTCCCCAAAATCCTCTCTAGCAGTCCAATCCTCTATCATTTCCATTTGTTCCGGCTTAGCCTCTCTCCCTCCCGTATGACGTTGGCACCAGCGATGCAGCTGCTGTACAGAACTGTATTCTCTGCTTTCTAGGTACGAGTGTTGCTTCTCTGTAGAGCGCCATCTAGCGACGTAAGGTTGAAAATCACGCTCGTCCTATCTCTTCCCTAAAGCGTTTGCAAGGCGTTTTCATGGATTCCCCGGTTCTTTAGGAGCCATCAAGTCGTGTTCGACTCCCACCGAGCACATCGATAGCTTTTGTCCAGGACAATCTACCCTAAGCCTTTTCTTTCAGGTCTCCCAAGAGGTCAGTCATCGTCCCTCTTCCTGCAACTAAATCAAAGGAAAGTGTCCTGGGGGGGGGGGGGGGAATTATGTACAACAGCCAAGGAGAAAGTGCATCTCCTTTGAGGGCTGGTGAAGATTGTTCCAGCCAGTTTTTCATCTTGGGGGTTGGGGGTGCAGGATAACTCCTTGAAACCTGCCTCTGCAACTTAGCAAAGCTGTAAAATTGAATCTTGACCCCTTGTCTCGTCTGTGATTTTATTTTCCTTTACTTCCATCTTTAGCTATCAAGCACCATATTTCCTACTGGTGCCCCATCCCTGCTAAGCAATGGAAATTTGGGCTCGAATTGCTGTCACAACCTGAGAACTACCTATATTTCT